ATATTTTGAAGCCTATAGAAATCAATATTCAGGAGATATTTTAACAAGTATAATTCCTATTTTTAAAAAAGATAAGTGAGAATGGCTGCTGTCATGGCAGTTCCTATCACTGATCAGCAGTATGCATTATATTCTTTTCTCTACGAAACTGAATTCTCCGGAACATAATAATATCCAAGAAAAAAATTCCTAGCTGACTTATAAAATCATATCAAAAGAGAAACAAAATCATTCATGCCCATGTGTCACTCTGTAATTTTAGCTAAAAGATATTTTTTGATGCCCCAAACACAGCTTCATCATAATAGTTTCTGAAAACACGAAGCACTCCTTATACAAAGATTCCTGAGTAAACCATAAAGGATACATATAGAATCTCACTGTGAGTTGAAGGTCAGATCCATTCATTTACAAGTCTCAAGTTGACTTTACATACTAATATTTGTGATGTTTGTATCCTGCTCTGCATTTTAGTCATTCATCTAGTCAATCGTTAGTGTTCATTCATTTAAAATCTACCTGCTCTCCCCAGCAATTGGTATCTTTCTCCTTGAAACCTGTAACACTCCTGCTGTTCTGCTTTGCATTTTCAGTTGTTTCTATTTCACTCTTATCCCCTTATGAGATAATAAGCACTGTAGAAACAGCAGCACTGAATTACTTATCTTTATAATCCTCCATTCTCCTATCCCGAAACTCACACGTGGGAGGCAGTTTGTTCCCTTTTGTTGAACTGAACTGAATGGAAAGTCAAGGACAAGATGAAAACCAAGATTGAAGGTGAGGCTGTGGATTCATCACCAGCTTTAATTAATGAAAAAACTTTAGAGGTTACATTTACAAATATTGATTTTGTCAAAATATGCTAATAAAAACAGCCCCAATGTTTATGCCTGGTATTTACCTTATTAAAACATGTATACATAACCCTGATTTTACAGCTAAATTATTTGACCAGCATCATAGATATTTCTAAACAGTTGTCTATTTCCTACAAACTAGAGAAAAATAGTTACTTCTCTTAAGTGTTTTATTCTTGTAAAGATTGACTCAAAGTGGTGACAATATAACTTCCACATCCTTTCTATACTCTCCTTCAGAATAATTCCTTGTCTAGTTGTATCCTTTGTTTCTAGTAAATGAGGCAGCTTCTTTATCCATGCAACTTTTTATCTTAATGAAAATTTACAATTATTTTTACAATGAAGTAATTGACCTAGACATCACTATTCCAAGCAACTTATCCATCCACACTAGTATGAAGGCAGTACCACTTCATCCTTATATGTTTCACCTCAAATTATTTCTTTTTTCTACAGTACTTACAAAGAAAGAATAATATCAAGTGTATAGAAGCACAAGGTCTTTTCTGCCCCCAAATTCAAGTTACTCAGATTAACTTCGCATAAAAAATACTTCACTTTGAAAGGGATGATAAAAACATTGACGTCAGATTTACACATCACTTTAAAAAAAAAACTTGGCACTCTTTATAAAACACTATTTCATAGAATATAAACTGGATTTTTTCACAAAGAATCTTTCATCTAGGAGTGAATACTTAGCAGAAGAACCAAGATCAGCTTTAAACCATAACCACCCCAGATATTGGTGATAGAGAATTCCCTATTGTTCAAAGACAGTGAGTCTTCTAACAGGTTGAGTGATGTGTTCGTTTTCTCCCAGCAAGGATCTGGTCAGCAAAGATAAACATGGTACCAGCATCTCCAGGCAGTGAGGAATCTTCAGATCCTTGGTGCCTCAGCCCTCATACCCTGAATACCAATGAAAACAAACCCTGCAAGACGTTTGCTGCACAGACTTTTGTCCCTCTCAGTTCCTTTGTTTTTATGAGTCTTCATCCTTTAAATTGTATTGCAAAGTTCTAACTGATGACAGTTCCCTTCTGTCCTGATGCAAGTCTAAATAATAGAACCAACAGCGATTTCCTTGTGGAGACACCCACTACCAAATTCCCACAGGTCCTTGTGTTTTACAACAGTTACAAGTGTTTCTGCCTTAAAATGAATATTTGATAAATCTGACACGGGATTTTGACTACAATCACACAGAAGTCACAAACTCGGAGTGTTAAGAAAAAAGTAACAGGGTGGGAATGAGACAGAAAGAAAGTAAAAAAAGATTTAAATAACAACACCGAATAAAGTTAGGAACAATGAAACAGGAAAAGAATAAACAATGGATTGCTGGATGACATCAAGCCCCACTGATGTCAAATACCAAGAATCTAATAGCAAACTCGTTACTAGAATATGTGGTCCCAAATGAATACCAATTATCAAATATTTGTGATCATTGTCCTTTGCACAAACTATAACTGGGATTTCCAGTGAAGAAATGACTCCAGCCTGAACAACTTAAAAGAAATCACTCAGCTTTATATTACCCAGTATGACTCCTTACACTACTTCGCCAAATGTTATAACCCTGTGTATTTATTGCTTGTCCTCACTTCGTGGTAATATTCTCTTGGGGAGTTTTGTAAGTGAAATTGAAGATTAGACACATCTAGCAACAAAAATGATTTAGAAATGCTTTGTAAATATTTTAGAAATGGATAGGTGAACTTTCAAGTAAACAGAGAAAATCTTAAATGGATAAGATTGAAATCCATCTGTAAAGAAGGAAGTTGTTGCATAGGGTAACCTGATTGGGCATTTAATGCTCACCCAATAACAAGTTCTTCGGACTCAGTCAAGGCCACAAATCAGATCATAGGCCCTTTTTAAAGCTCAGCCATTCAAAGGCCAAAAACCAGTAAAAAGCTACAGGAAAAAATTTGTGCCATATGTACAGGGAGTCAGTTAAGTTTTCTCAACTGTAGCCAGAACTTAGTGTGCTCAGTGATCTGCACTTAGAATGGTAACAGACTTCTTCTTTCAATGGATTCTATTTTGAATTTACACTGCATACTATGACCCGAGAATTTAGAATTTGAGAAATTATCATAAAAGCAGTGACAGGCAGTGTCTGTTACAAGCAAACACAAACATCTTTGGGGGAAACATTTTAATTGATACTGACTTAGAATTTTCCAGAGTTGAAGAGAAATCCTCATAGTAGGGTAATACAAACTTTGGGCAATATAAACATATATTGGAATGTAAACATTCAATCCAATTGGATAACTCAAGCTGTAGGACCTTAAAGTTAAAAAGAACATTACGTATACTCAAGAGGAGAAAGATGGAATGAGCAGAAATTACACACCAACAAAGCCGTGTAAAGAAAATTGTTCCTAGCACAATTAACTCACCATCTTGTTTTGACTGATTTTACTCTATTCTGTTTTGCTTGATAGTACCAAGTTTGAGTCTATAGGCAACAACTGTGAAGACAATAAGATTCACTATGATGCCTATTCTGATTTGACTATTATCTTCTTTTGAAGTCCTGTAACGTCCCCAATGTTTTGGTTTTATTGGTTTTGTTCTTTACTGTTTTGTTCAATTTTATTATAACTGATGATATAGGCAATTCTTTTTAAGATAGCAAGAGGCATTATGGTAACCATTGTTGATTACCTTGTATTCTGTCTTTACATTATGTATCGTGTCCATCTTTTTGATTTGACTGACTCTGTTTTGTTATGTCACATTTGGTTTTATTCTCTTCAAAAAAAAAAAAGTATTAAGAACTGTGGGAGTAATAAAACCCAAAATGTGTAACTGTCATTGTAAAAAAAAGAGGAAAAGAAAATGCTCTAAAGGATATAACTGCATGTATATGTAAGCGTATAAGATAGATAACCATATTACTGAGTTTTTGTTGGATCATTGAACAGAACTGTTTGCAGTCTCACTATTTGAATGTCCACTTTATATGCTTTAATTTTGTAACTTGAACAACTGTTTCTAAGATGACAATATGTAATCTATTAACTAGTGATTTCCTACTGTTTTTTTTTTAATTTTGTATAACTTGTACCCTTTTTCTGTTTTTTTTTTCCTTTTTCTCTTTAAATTTTTTTTTAAAAAACCTATAAAAAATTGACATGTTTTGGTTTTTAAAAAGTTATCTTCTACTTTGAACAAATACCTCAAACAAATGAACTATCTTTAGAGGATCCTAAAAAGCTAAAAACAAATAGGATTTTTACTTTAATAATAGAAATGTATTAAAAGCTTGATTTGTGGTCACCAGTGAGGCTACAAAACTGCTCAGTAGTAACTGCAATTAGATTTTTGTCTCTTATCAAAGAAATTCTCAGTCTTATAGAAGACAAGAATTTTAATTGCTAATGGAGGAATAAAATTGTTCATAAATTTTTTTTATTTCCTTATAATTTCTGAGTTTATAATTTTCTAAGTATTCCTAAAATAATTCTTGGAAAAAAATTAATCTAGTAGAAACAGGAAAGACTTTTGATGTCATTTTGTCCTAATTATTATTTTAAGAATTACTCATATGCAGATGAGAATGAACTGCACATTTGCTGTTATCAGAGATGTTTAAAAACAGATTGTGCATTTAACATGTATTGCTTCTTGTTCAAGACAACAGTCCAGTCTCCTCATATACAATCTTTCTTAACTACTGAAGAAAACTACATGGTTCTCCATTTCTGTAAATTATCAATAAATTAAACATATTTAAGTTCTCTGCAACAAAATTAAGATTAGATAGAATCTAATAGAAAATATTTTCTTAAGAAAGATATTTAAATTATTGGTTGGTTCAGAGTGTTGTCATTCTTTTTAAAGGAAATCCTTACATACTAGGTTTCTTAACAAAGTATAGTAAAATAATTGGTCATTTATAAAGTGTGATGGATAGAAATGATATTTTTTAAACTTAATAACTCACTTTTAGTGTAGCACATCAAATTCTTCTCATTAGAACATATCACTTTCTTAAGAAAAACTATGTGATTTTCCTATCACAGTTCCACATGAAATCATGGTAGAAGGGTAACTTTTTAAAAATAATCTCTTAACAAAGTTAAACTTATTTTCTCTTATTTATTTTTATCTCCGCAGATTGTCAGTGTTGGAAAACACGTTAAAGGCTACCATTATATCATTGCCAACTTGGTAAGGACTGTTTATTTTCTGCTTTTTTGTGAGAATTACTGAAATACTTAAAATGATTTTAGTTGTACCTTAAAATAATGTCCTAATGAATGGTTAGGCCACATACTTTCATAACTCAAAGGGTTTTTTTTTTACAATGATTATCATGTTTCTAGTATAAAATCAATGCATTTTTACGCTGATCAGCTTGATACCTGTCAAAGAGATTTTTAAAAATTAATTATATTGAATTTGCCATTAATTATAGTGTTAATGTTTTGTCAAATTAAATGCTAGCTTTTTGTCTAAGTGATAAAGACTACTCTGTAGATGAGGATTGCCAATATATGACTTACATAAAACATCTAAACTTATGGTCTATGTTCTTCAGTTTTAACAAAAATGGGATAGACTGGCTGTATAAGCAAGTCTCTTGAATGTCAACTTTTCACATACATAGATGTTAGTGAATAAGACACACACACATTAATGACATTGTTAACAACCCAGGGAAGTTTCTTGATGAGCGTCACTGAAGGATTTTTGTTAACCTTCCAGTGCAGCGGGCTATGGAGAGACATTCTCTTGTTGTGCTAGGATATCACCTGAATTCCTACAGAATTCAAGTTTTATGTTTTTCCTGACTATTCTCATCACACAGTTCTCTGACAAGTATCTTGTGCTTGAAACAAAAAAGGGGCTAAAGGATAGAAAAGAGATTCAGATCTGTCCCTCTTTTTATGTGGTGTGTAGTCCACGATATAGTAATATTGAAATTTTCAGACTTTAGTGAGCAGGATTTCAATATGGAGCTGAAACAGTAAAGTAGAGTCAGACTATGAACAATAATTGTGTTTTATTTCTTAAATAAAATATAATTTTGCAACCTGATAATTATTGTGGAAATACTGGAAAAATCTGACCTGTCTTTTTCATAGATTTAGCTAATCCACAGAGTGTGCTTTATTATTTTTTATCAAAATATGAATAATAAATCAAATATATTCTACTATTAATCACTATAAAAGATCTAATGATTATGGAATATCTGTACTCACAATGACATTGTATAATGAGATTCTAATTAATTACTACAAATAAAGGATTTTGACATCTATTTTTTCTAAAGAATGGAATTAAGGGATAAAAATCAGTATGTTATAAACTGTCATTCCAAAAATGAGCTTCTGACACTAGAAGCTAAAATAAATATGCAGTACAAAAGAATGAATATTTATAGTGCCCTAATTCTAATAGATATCATAGCTTGTCGAAAACAACTCTAGTAAACGCCAGTATGTTTAAGCTGTCTGAAATGCCAGTATTTAAAATAGAAAACATTTTGCTTATAATGATATATGACCATCACTCTCACTAAAAATAAGCAAGCTTTTAATCGCATGTCGTTGATATCTTTGTAATACATGATTAAGCCAGTGACTTGCACATTATATTAACACAATTCTATCCAAATTCATTTAGCTCTAAAGGACTGCGACTTAGAACATCAGAATGATTTCTGTATCATTAGCCAATCAACAACTGTTTTTTGAGAGCCATGTAATAAGATTCCTTAATGTGAAGTCAATTTAGAATTAAAAGAAAAAATTATATTAACATTATGTTTAATGTTACAATGTTGGCTTTCTTCTACCTTCTCACCACTCAGAACTTTGTACCAAATTGCAATGACTCAGTGAAAAAAAATTTTTAAAGGCTCCTGATTAAAAAAAAAAAAGATTTTGTATATAAAAAAATCTTAGAGAATAAAGAACAATTGTAGAATAAATGAGTTCTTCAAAGTTTCAGTAAAAAATGAATAATCAAAAATATGATGTATTTCTATATAACTGGAATAAACAATATGAAATAAATTTAGAAAATACTTGCACTCATAATTTATGATTTTAGTTTTAAATTAATAGGTGTCTGGTATTTAACACATTTGACAAGGCTGATTTAATTAGTAAAAACTTATTTTAAAATAGCAATTCACACTGCTTACTGGGTAGATAAAAGTATTCCAGAAGATTTAAAATACTGTTAAACTGCTTTAACACAATATTTAATGAATATTTTAGTATTTTATTGAAAGTAAAAACAGAAATTATAAAGGTTAGCTTATCTCACCCAAGAACAGAAGAATAAAGCTTAAAAGATAGAAATATGTGATGCATGAAGTTGTATCAAAAGTTTGCAGGTATATACTTTTAAGTCAAGGACCTCCCTTATCTAAACAAGGTTAAGGGGTTGGGAATTTAGCTCAGCAGTGTAAGGACCTTCTTTGCAAGCACGTGGTCATGAGTTCAATCCTGGTACCGATAAAAAATAAATAAATGAACAAGGTTAATTCCCTGGCAAAACTTGGTTTAAGTATGCATATTCTTTAAACAAGTGTAATTCCCCTAAGCAAAAACAAAGTAAGAACTGACACAGAAATATTGACTCCCTAAAGATCATAAATAAAACTGGAAAAAAAGAGGTCAATTCCATGTCAGCAAATAAAATAATATTGAGTTTCATTTTAAGTAAGGATGAAAATAGATTGTGGATATTTTTCAGCATTGTTTAAATTTATCATGCAATTAACTGTGAACTGAGCTCAGCTTCTTCAGTTAGTTTATGTCCAGTGTATGCACTCTCCTGCCCTGATGAAGTGGCAATGGATACTTTCCATGTCTCAGAGACCTTCCAGCCTTTAAAGTTATTGTAGTGTTCTGGCATTTCAACTTTCGCAAGTTAAATGAAGCTAACATTTCTTCAGTCAAGCCTGAGACTAGTGAGTGTCCAAAAGGGTCCACAGAGTAGGCGGCACATAACTTGCATGAACTATGATTGGTACCTGAAGGAACTGATATGTCACTTCCTGATTCTTGAAATTCCTGTATGATCATCACTGCTACTATCATTAAGGATTGTTACTAAATATGAGTAAACTTATCAAAAATGGTAAATTGCTGAATTTCTTTTCCTTTTCTGTATCCTGTGAATGGTTTGTATATGGGTATATGTAAATTTTATTTAGACACAACTAATCACCTAAGATGCTGATGAAAGCACATTGTTTCTTGATATACAAAGTTCTGTTCTAGAGATTTCCAAAACAGATAGAGGCAGGAAAATGTTATCTGTCTGTTGGTTTAAAGTAGTCTATTTTTTCAGAGATTGAAGTAAGAAAATTACTTCTATATTTTGCCCCTGGATTTTTCTCTCTTGCTTTTTTTTTTTTTTTTTACTACCAAGTATTTAAGATAGAAAAGATTATACCACTTCTCTGCTTAAATTTTTTTTATTGGCCTCAGGCTGCAAATATAGTGAAGAACATCAGATGTTTCATGATCTGATCTCCTGTGCACTTTGCATCTTTACCTGCTAATACTAATCTCACCTCTCCACAGGACTTGCTTTTTCTCTTAAAATGCCATACCCTGACTCACTGCCCCAGTGTTAACATCTCATAACCAGAGCAAACATTCTAAAGCTAAGCACCTCTAGGATCAACTATTTATACTACTTAACTTTATGCAGATAGCCCTTTATGATTTTACCCTGCTTACCCCAGGGTCTCTTTCTCACTCTATCCACATGCATCCTCTCCAAAACAATTAACTGTCAGCAACTAAGGTTTCTTTCTCCTTAAAATTTTAATTTAGGCAGCCATTCTCACCTCGAAGAATTCATTCCACCCAATCTTTATAGTTACAATCACTCTCTTTTAAAAAATGGTCCCTAAGTATGCATTCTGATAGCCCTTCTTCTGGGTATGCAAGTCACCCTGAGCAATGATTGTACAGAATTCATATTTTTCATCTATCAGATCATTGTGTTAGATCAGCTCTGTATCAGTAAACATCAAACATCCTGACGTACAGCTACAAATAAACTCTTAGAACAACACAAGATTACTAACAGAAATTATGTCTTTTTTTGCCTTGTAAGATAGGTCTTTATCTGTTGGACTTCGCTTGTCCTCTGCATCTGGTTTTCGTTGATATTTTTATTTTATTACTATAATTGTTTTAATTAGTCCTTAAAACTTGATGTGTTTATTTGATAGACCAAAATATGAGGTTCAGTGTAATTTATCCAAGATCTTACAGACTATTAAGTTTCAATAGCAAGTTTAAATCTCTATTCTAATTTCAAGAAATAAATATACAAATAAATAACATGGCTTATCACACAGTGGCAATAAAGTCACAAAGCGACTTCATTTATAAGTTTCTTGCACCATTCTTAAGGGTTACTTGGCCTTAGACACAATCTTTGTATTTATATTCACTCCTCCTTGAGCCCTTTGATAGTTTAAATATGACCACGAAAAGCAATAAGGAACTCTTGGTATATCTCCCACTTATAAGGCAAAGTAAGAATCCTGCTCTCATTTAAGTGTTTAAGCTTTTAAGATTTATTTAGCATATTACTCATGCTCCCATCACTGGGCAAAATAGTTAAAATCGACAACTTAAGGGAAGAGAGGTTTATTTTGGCTTACAATTATCAGTGGGTTGATTCCAAGGCAGAAATAGGCTTGTGGAAGAGCATTGAAGAGGGATGATATTCATGCCATGGCAACCAAGAAACAGTGATGGGGGAAATGGGGAGCTGGGGACTAAAACACACCCTTTCAGGTTGTGTCCCAGTCACACACCTCCAACAAGGCCCCACTTCCTAATAGCACATTTAGCTAATGGGTATAGCATCCCAATAATCCAAACATCTTCCAAATATAACATTCTGCCTCTAACTCCCTAAAGGCTAATGTCCACTTCATTGTGCCAAATATATGTAATTCATCTGTAAGAGTCAACAAAGTCTCCACAGTTTCAGCATTGAGTAAAAAGCCAAACTCCAAAGTATCTTTTGAAATTTAAGGCACACTCTTAAAAGTGAGCCCTTGTGAAAATTAAAAAGAAAGTTACTCTCATACAATCGCATGGAGTGAAAATTCTCATTCCAAAAAGTAAAAGTGAAGGATAGAAAGAAAGCACACAAAAACATTCAACACCATAGCTTCATGT